GAGTCACGGAGGCGGCCTCGGCCCTGCAAATAGCAGTGCGCTTTCCGGACGACGGAGGGGCCGACGAGGTGGTGGCCGCCATAGGAGAGCAGATCCTGGCCCCACGGACGTCTCGCTGTCAAACTGGACGGTTCGCCCCAGCAGCGGCTGCAGCGTGGTCCTGGCCACGCACACCGCGGGCGCAGTGAGCGTGGACGGCTACACCCTGACCCTGGAGGTGAACCCGTGGAACATCGTGCGCACCTACAACTTGACCCCGGGCCGAGAGCTCCTCTTCGCCTGCCGCTACCGGCTCGGCACGGCCTCCAACTTCGTGGTGTACATGTCCGAGGCCGACAACGTCTACGACCCATTGTACGGCAGCTTCGTGGGTGCGGCCAAGATGTACTTCACAGTGCCTCCGAACGGAGTTGCGAAGCTGCACTTCGGGGCGCACTTCCAGGCGCCGGGCCTGCCCAACCAGACGGCAGGAACGGTGGACGTCGGCCTCCAGATCCTGGACGCAACCCTGGAGGCCGGCAACACGGCGGAGGAGGAGGACACGGCGGCCTCGGCCCTGCTGCTGAAGCACGAGTTCCTCGACGGAGGGGCCGACGACGTCACGCTGGCCACCTTGGGCGAGGTGCTGCTGGAGCCCACGCTCACCACGCTAGGCAATTTTCTGGCGCGCTCCAACAGCCAGAGCTCCGTGGCCTCGGCCAGCTTCACGGTGGGAGGCTTCCAGCTGGAGGGCTACGCCATGACCCTGAGCGCCTTTGCCTGGAACATCGTGCGCACCTACGCCCTGACACCGGGGAGACGCTACTCCTTCGGCTGCCGGTACCGGCTGGGCACGGCCTCCAACTTGGTGATGTACGTCAGCGCGGCCGACAACGACTACGTGGGCGTCACCGGCACCTTCCTCGGCACGCCCTCGCAGGGCGTCTGGAGCACGGCGCGCCTGGACTTCTCGGCGCCGCCGGGCGGAGTCGCAAAGCTGCACTTCGGAGCCTTCGGGGGGTCTATCCCCGGGCTGGTGCAGCAGTCGGCGGGCACGCTGGACCTGTACAGCATGCAGATCAGGGCCACCGCCTTCGAGGGAGAGTCGGTCTCCGTGACGGACCTGCTGGCCGACTCGCTGGCCCTCACGGGCTCGGCCACGCTGGACGGGTGCGTGCAACGACGTGAACTGCACGGACGTTTTCACGACGGGCGTGGACGCCTCGGGCGCAGTCTCCTGCGCAGCGCTCACGGCCACCGGCACCGTCGCCGGAGCCACGCTGTCGTCACAGGGGCCGTGTCAGGCAGCTCGCTGAGCATCACCGGGGCGGCCAGCGTGGGCCTGCTGAGCTCGGCCACCGGAATCACGGGCAGCACATTGACCGTCAACAACACGGCCAACGCCGGGAACTTCACCACGGTGGGGGACGTGTCCACGGGCACGCTGACGGCCTCGGGCGCAGCAACCGCGGCGAGCTTCGCAGCCACCGGGGCGGTCACGGGCGCCACGCTGACGATCACCGGGGCGGCCTCCGCGGGCCCGCTGGACTGCGAGAGCCTGGACTGCACCTGCACAGCCACGAGCGGCGGAGTGTCGACGGGCAGCGTGGTCTGCGGCGACGTGACGAGCTCGGGCACGGTCTCCGCGCCGCAGCTCTTCGCGTCCAACACGCTCACCGTGACAAACACCTCCGACTTCTCGGACGATCTCTTCCTGACGAAGAACTGGGCGGGCTGGAGCAAGCTGCAAGTGTCCAACAACAGCGCGGCCCCCGACAGCGGCCCGGAGCTGCGGCTGCTGGGCAACCAGAGCGCGCGGGTCTTCCTGGAGCGGGACGGCGGGGCGCACCAGTGCGAGCTGATCATGATCAACGACGAGGCGCTGGTGCAGACGAAGAGCCTCTCGACGCAGCTGTCCCTGACCACGAACCAGAGGGACTCCCGGCTGCCTCGTGATCGCAGGCAACACGGGCAACGTGGTCTGCAACACGAGCTTCACGAATTTGTCGGACAGCAGGGTGAAGACGGAGATGGCCGAGGCCGACGTGGCAGAGCTCCAGCAGCTCTTCGACTCCGTGGAGGCCAAGCAGTACAAGCGCCCGGACATGAACGAGGACCTGAGGCTGGGCTTCGCCTCAAACGACTTCGCAGGAACGAAGTGGAAGAACCTGACGGGCACCGCCCGGTGGAGCGACGGCACGGAGATGGTCACGCTCGACTACTCGCACCTCACCAGCGTGCTCTGGGGGGTGCGCAAGGGCTTCCAGGCCAGGCTGGACGCGGTGGAAGCCTGGCAGGCCCAGCGGGGGCCGAAGAACAAGTAAACATGGAGGCGCTGAGGGATCTTGCCGACGACTTCAACGTGCGGGACCCCCGTAAGCTGTATCGCCTTGCGAGGCACGTGACGCAGGCCATGGCCTTCGAGGCGCTCAAGGCCGACGTGGGCAGGCAGGTGCAGGCGCCCCGGCCACGGGCGCTGGGGAAGTCGGCTGCGGAGGGGCCGAACGACCGGTTGCAGGCGGACCTCATCGAGCAGCCAGAACACGCGGGGGAAGACGAAGTATGGCCTGGTGGTCATGGACGTCTTCACCCGGGAGGCTGCTGTGGAGCCTCTACAGAACAAGAACGCCGAAGCGGTCGGCCGGGCCACCAAGCGGGCGGCCCGGGAGCTGGCGGGGGACGACGAGAACTTCGTGGTCACGACGGACCTGGGCAACGAGCTTGCCACGCTGGACCGGGAGCTGCCCGATGAGGCGGTGCACCGCACCAAGCGGCCGGAGGACCGCAACGCCATGGCAGTGGTGGACCGGGGCATCCAGACCCTCAAGAAGGACCTGGCTACCAGGGTGGCCCGCAGAGGCGGCCAGTGGAGCGACCACTTCAAGCAGGCCGCGTCGGCCTACAACGCGCGCCCCCACGAGACGGTGCACGGCGCCCCGGAGGACGTCGAGAAACAGCCGGCCACCGAGTTCAGGGTGTTGCAAGACAACGCCGACAGGTTCCAGCACAACAAGGACTTGACGAACCGGCGCATGAAGGTTTTGGAGGACGCGGGGGCGTTTCGGGCGCCCACCAACGCGGCGAGGAGCTTCAATCCCCAGTACGGCGACGTGCAGCGGCTGGCGGCCGTGGACTCCATGACCGTGCGGAGCACCGAGGGCCGGGAGACCCTGCTGAAGCTGGCCCTGCCGGCGCCGCAAGACAGTGGCAACGCGGCGGGGCGGCTGACGAGGCGCGGCAGGCCCGCTGCGGCAAGGCAGCTGGACGACTTCTTGGGGCAGCCCCGCCGGCCCAGAACCATCGACTAGCTTTGGTCCGGCTGATATTCTGTACGGCTGATAGGACTTTGAGCCAAAAACACAACCGCTTCTCCAGCTGGCGACCTTGTAGCACTGCGAGCCAAAAGCACAACCGCTTCTCCACCTGGCGACTTTGTAGCACTGCAAGCCAAGAGCACAACCGCTTCTCCAGCTGGCGACTTTGTAGCACTTCGAGCCACAAGCACAAACGCTCTCCAGCTGGCAACTTTGTAGCACTTCGAGCCAGAACGCGCATTTAGGGGGCATCCCAAAAGAACAGCCGCAATGCGGTTGGGGAGAAACCATGGCGTCTTAGTGGCTTATTAGGGGGGTGGAGGACTAGGCGTTTTCCAGGCAAATCTCTCTCTCTCTCTCTCTCTCTCTCTCTCTCTCTCTCTCTCTCTCTCTCTCTCTCTCTCTCTTTGTGTCTTCTTTGGATACATGATGCAATGCATGTGACAATGTGAATTCCATCTCTTGGCTTCTGTGACTCTACACTCCATCCTTGCAACAAGGCGGTCTCGGCAAGAGGCAAGCTCAATTGCTTTTCCAACCATGATTGGTTTCATCCACGCGTCACACGCGACACAATCACCGTGTCAAGCATGATCCGCTCTGTATTCTACATCATGTAGAGATGTAGAGATGTCGCACGGACACATTGAATTCACTGCGACCAAGAGCCGCAGACGGATGTCTGTCAAGCGCTGCAGCCCACTTGCGCAATTCATTTGAAATGGCGCTGCAAGCTGTGTTTTATACTAGACAGCCACCCGGATTAGGAAAATCAAAACTCTACGCAGACCCTTTAGGCTGCTTGAAGCACTGGTTTTCGTTCAGGAACTTGGCCACGTAGCGGTCATTGTGCTTGTGGCGTAGCATTGCCTGCTTGAAGTGACTGCCGGCGGCCGAAACGCCGACGTTCTTTGTCCTGGCAAAGGCGACCCAGGCATCCGACACCACTCCGTAGCCCGCACACTCCATGGACGGCCTCGAGGCCATCTCCCACGTCTCAACGAAAGACTCCCACACAAACTCCACTGAATCGCCTTGCAGGTAGCTGCGCGTGGCCTGCTCCACCTACAGCGGCCACGGCCGAACCAGAGTGTCCTGCACGGCGCCGAAGACCTTGAACACCTTGAGCAGCACGTAGAGAAGCCCTGAACTGTTGTCAGAGCCTCTGCTCGTCCTTGAGCCCGACCTGCACCAACCGCGGCACCTGGCAGAACTGAGTCGCCTGGCAGACTGAGTCGGCCATTCTGCCACCGACAGTCGTCTGTTACTTCCCCCGTCTAAGAGACATGTGTTGGAGCACATCACCAAGCCGAACTGAACTCGGAAGCTGACATGGTTTCGGGCGTGGATCACAGTCTTGTGGGGTCGCTGTACAACTTCAGTGTGTTGGCCTGGGGCCGATGCGAGGCATTCATCTCCGCAAACGGCAGGCAAGCTCCCCGGAGTTGCATGTGCTGCGGAGTGGCCTGCTGGCTGTTGAAGCGGGTCAGGAGATCGGAGTCGGGCATCGCACAATACGTGCCAAACAAAGCCTGGCAGGGCCGGGATTTGAAAAACAAAAAGGGCAGTGGATTGGTTTTTTTCGGGGCCCGTCCCTGGCCTGCAGCTGCGCGATCCACCAACTCTTTCCGTTCTTGCCCCCTCCCAGATAGATGTGAAATTCCTCTCGCTGGGACGTGCCGCAGAGCCTACGCGCTGCCCACTTCATCAACCACAGTGTGACCGCCATGTTTTCCCAGTAACTGCAGAGAACCTTGCACGCCTCGAGGGCGGGTGCTCGAACAACTTCAGTAACTTGCCGCTGAGCTCAGGCGGCATGTCTACAGTGCCGTACCCCTGCCCGACCCCGCTCTCGAAGTCCTTCACCTGTTGCAAGCAAGCCTCCAAGTCCAGGTCCCGGCCCAACATCGCAAAGAGCTCTCGTGGGCAAGTCACCCCCAAGCATTTTGTGATGACGTGCTCCTGCTTGGCCAGCGCGTCTATGGTCCGCACGTCGATCAAGTACCCGTCCTGTGTCATGAGCAGGCCCCTGTACTCATCTCCCCCCCGTATGACAAGGTGGAGACCGCGGATGCCGCCCAGAAGCCCGAGGAGAGCCGCTGGAGTCCCGCTCCTTCAAGGGCATGCACATACAAGGACTTGTTCTTCTTTCTTGCTGGCGGGCAGTGCGCGGCCAACTGTTGGAACCGCGCGCTGAAGCCTGGTCACCCGCCGCGTCCACGGGCGTCTACCTTGTCCTGCTTCTGCGTCTCCGACGCGTCCACGGACGTCTCCACCTTGTCCTGCTCCTGCGCCGCGTCCACGGGCGTCTTCACCTTGTCCGGTCTCCACCTTGTCCTGCTTCTGCGCCGCGTCCACGGGCGTCTCCACCTTGTCCGGCAGGGCTCCTGGACCTCAGCCGCGCCCATGGGCGTCTCCACAGACTTGCGAGCCGTCACCAGCTGAGATTTCAGCTGATTCACGGTGCCAGGTTCGACGGGCTCGCCTTGGGCTTTCAGCTCCTCCTGCATCTCCACCCTGTTCATCCTCCTTTCTTCGATCTTTGGCTTCTGGCCAAGGGCTCGCTTTCCACTGGCTCCTCAGAAGACGAGCTGCTGGTCTCCAGCCTCAAGAACCTCCAATCTCCCACGGACTGCTGCTCCATGAGTTGCTTCAGCACCTCCATCCTCCCGGCATCCGTGTTGCTCTGGCCTATCACTGCATCGGCCACGCCCTGGGCTTTATATCGCCTGCAATGACAGCTCATGGGAGCGACTTCGCCCGTTGTCACCCGCCCGCCCAAGAGAGCCTGCAACCAAGTCGAAAACCATAGGTGGCGCTCTAGACGCCAGTGCTTCTATGTCAAGCAAAATCAGCTGCATGGGCAGGGTCATGCATCAAGAAGGAAGAGGCAAAAATGTTGAGCAACATCTGCAAGAACAAGCACGTTTTCAAACTGCAAAGGCACTGACTTTGTCGGCTCTGGCTGTGGTCGTCATGGCCTCGGCAGCAAACCCACTGCTATCCCTGGAGTCCCCGGGGTCCCTGGGGTCCCTAGGGTCCGGGGTCTCTGGGGTCCCTGAAAAACTGTGGTGTCATCGGCAGCAATCAATCAACCCACTCGTGTCCCCTACGTCCCCGGGGTCCCTGGGGTCCCTGGGGTCAGAAGCAGTTATTTCGATAAAAAGGCTTCCAGAGGACCGCTTTTGGTAGGAACGGATAGGGCTAGACTGTTGTTTACCGCCAAAACGGACAAAAAGAAAAAGGGGCCCCAGGGACCCAGGGACCCCAGGGACCCCAGGGACCCCAGGGACCTTGGGGGCCCTGCAGACCTTAGGGACCTTAGAGATCTTAGGGACCCAGGGTCTTCAGAGTTCCTGACATGTCCGAATGATATTGGCCTGGACCGTCTCCAGCATCATAAAGTAGTTCAAAGAAGAAAATGTCGAACTCAAAGCCACATCATTTCCCAATTACAAACACGGATGTAAAAAACAAAACATCATGTAGAAACATATAAATATAAAGATACATATATATATATATATATATAAATATCTAAATATATAAAATTTGTAGAAACACAATAATATAAATACATGGAAAGATGAAAAAATGACCAAATACAATAATATAAATACA